AGAGAGAGAGAGAGAGAGAGAGAGAGAGAGAGAGAGAGAGAGAGAGAGAGAGAGAGAGAGAGAGAAGCTGTATATCAAGTGAAGCTTCAAACTGGAAGAGAGAAAGAGAGAAATGAAGCAAGAGAAAGAGAGAAATGGAGGAGCGAGCGAGCGAGCGAGCGAGAGAGAGAGAGAGAGAGAGAGAAGACGAAGACAATCATGGCATCCGAGCTACAGACGTTCCGACATATAAAAAGGAAGTAATGGGAACAGGCGAGAGCTCAGCAACAAGCAAGAAAAGGATGACTCCCTACACAGAACCTGCTCCTGGCTGTCTGTCTGAGGAAGGACGAGACACAGGTGCTCTCTCTCTCTCTCTCTCTCTCTCTCTCTCTCTCTCTCTCTCGCTCGCTCTGTGTGTGTGTGTGTGTGTGTGTGTGTGTGTGTGTGTGTGTGTGTGTGTGTGTGAGAGATCGAAAGACAGAATTAGCAATCACACATATGCAGATGAAAAAGAACGAGACAAACTTGCACGACATTTTCCCAACTCCTACACAAGAAGGAGAGGAAGAGTAATGAAGGAGAAGCGAGGGACACCTTCCTTGACGCCTACACAAGAAGAAGAAGACGGGTAATGGAGGGAGCCAGGGAGGGAAATTAGCAGTCTTTTTTTTTGGTTTTAACGGGTTAAGTTGGAAAGGCGTGATCAGTAAAATGCATACCCGCTGAATGTGCACATCATCGGCCGTGTTGCGCAGTAAGATAGCGATGGCCTGTCCCGATCCCGACGTCGGACGGAAGCTTTCAGCTATATCAAGCACCACCTTCATATCTTCAATCTCCATCGACGGAGCATGGATGTCCAGAATTACAGCTGCTTGCGATCGCCCTCCTCCTCCTCTTCTCCTCTCCCTGTCTTCCACATCCAACTCCTCTTCTCCATCTGTATACACTATACGTGTCTGGTTTATCCCTTTGCCTATCAATCGAGTTCCCGCCAGATTGACAGGAAAAACGATGCCAGAGGTGTGAAAGGTACCCGCGCCAAGCTGAATAGTGCATCCAGAAGTGGCCAGATTCAGAGCTCGCGTCAACGTGCACGGAGATACTTCAGAACTGCAACTTCCTCTACCTTCTTCGTCCGATTCTTGCGCATTCGCTGCCACGTGTAACACCCTCCGCCTCGCTACATCCCACCAGGCAGAGGTCCCCCCATCTTCATCTGATTGGGCCAATATGCGTTCACGAGCAGTCAGCAATCTACGAGGGGGTTTATGCGTAGCGCAGACGTGCTTGACTTGCAAGCCGTAAAGAACTGCAACTAGCATCATGACAGAGACAAGGTATCTAGTCCTCCCCATCATCATCGACAACATCATTCGACGGCAGAGAGGAGTGAGTAGAGGGGTCTTCCAAATCCTGCCACCAGACTTGACCTTCATCGATAAGACCCCCCTCCTCAACGAAGGTTGCATGTTTGTCTGCCAAGACAAGCAGCTGCTCGCCGGGTCGAGCTCCCGTCACGGACAAGAGGATCACCCGGGGCAAGGTCCCACTTGCACGGATTAGTAGATCTCGGCCGTTGATCTTCTCTATCGACGATCAATATCTCTTAATTCGTGCAAGTGGGACCTAGCCCCCGAACCAGAGGCCTTCAGAAAAAGGTACTACAGGGGGTAAAAGACAATCTATGCGAACAGTTGAAGTCAATAGATAGCGTCACGGTAAAAATAGCCCGAGCAGAACAAGACGACTGGAACGTCTCTCTCTCTCTCTCTCTCTCTCTCTCTCTCTCTCTCTCTCTCTCTCTCTCTCTCTCTCTCTCTCTCTCGCTCGCTCGCTCGCTCGCTCGCTTGCTCTATCGATAGCTAACCAGCACTGCCTCCTCTTCTACCGTGATTCGTTCACTCGATCACCAAGCTTCGTGAAAGAGCAATCTCTCTCTCTCTCTCTCTCTCTCTCTCTCTCTCTCTCTCTCTCTCTCTCTCTCTCTCTCTCTCTCCGTCGCTCTATCGATAGCTAACCAGCACTGCCTCCTCTACCGTGATTCCTTCACTCGATCACGAAGCTTCGTGAAAGAGCAATCTCTCTCTCTCTCTCTCTCGGTCGCTCGCTATATTAATAGCTAACCAGCACTGCCTCCTCCTCTTCCGTGATTCCTTCTCTCTCTCTCTCTCTCTCTCTCTCTCTCTCTCTCTCTCTCTCTCTCTCTCTCTCTCTCTCTCTCTCT